CCTGTTCAGCGGGGAGTCTGGTTCTCCCTCTTCCTCCCCCTACTTGTGCTCTCTCTCTTTCTCACTCACTCTCTCAAATAAATAAAATCTTTTAAAAAAGAAAAAGAAAGAAACAGTAACTAGATTCTGTGACTTCTAATTTGTCCATGAAGGATGAACTCTAAGACTTCATCATGGTCCTGTGAACCCCTGGCACTGCGCCTCTCAGAACAGGAGGTCAAAACTGTATGAATGAATGAACTGCCTAAGTTCAGATCCTGGTTCTGTACCTACGAACTGTGTGATTTTAGGCAAGTTCTGAAACATCTCTGTGTCTCGATCTTGTCTGTAAAATGGAGACCATAATAATACCTGTCTCAGAGTTGTTGTGGAAATTAAATGAGAAAATGTGGACAGTTTAGAACAGCACATTTCACACAGTAAGAAGAGCTCAGGATCTGGGAGTTGTTACTGTTCTGACACTTCGCTATTATTAGCACTGACTTTTGATCAGTCCTGGTCAATGATCTGCACACAAGAATCTTCACATTATACAGATATCTAAAGAGTTAAATTGCCACAGTAGCAGCTGTTTTACCACCAGCAATAGTCAACAATGAGACAGCTAAGTTTTTGTTTGCTTGTTTGTTTCTGCCAATTGAATTTTAAGATCCTTTGCTTCACTATAATTAACTCTTTGAACTAGCAAGGCTCTTTCTATGTAATCACCAGCTGCCAATCCTTTCTTGCCCTCCCATCTCACTACCAGGACTCAAGTGATGTGCATGCAATGATGGACTTCAGAGCTTTGGGAGCACACAGAGGAAGGGGAAGCAGCCACCATTTATTTGGAGGTGACTTAAATAATTTCTGCAATGAAGACAGACTGTGAAAGAAGGGGGAGGTTTGTTGTTTGTTTTTAAAGAAAACTAACAAAAAAAATAAAGAAAACTAACTTGGCAAAAAAGTTTTTAAGGTTTATTTATTTGAGACAGAGAGGTAAAGAATGTATGAGCAGCGGGGAGGGGCAGTGGGAGAGGGAGAAGCAGAGTCACTGCTGAGCAGAGAGCCCCACATGGGGCTCGATCCTAGGACTCTGAGATTATGACCTGAGCCAAAAGCAGCTGCTTTACCAACTCAGCCACCCAGGCGCCCCTAATTTGGCAAATTTTTAAAAGCTAATTGCTTGGAGGGGCACCTGGGTGGTTCAGTGCAATAGGCATCCAACTCTTGGTTTCAGCTCAGGTCATGATCACACAGTCATGGAATCGAGCCCCACATCAGGCTCTGCGCTCAGTGCCGAGTCTGCTTCAGATTCTCTCTCCCTCTGCCTCCCACTCTTTCTCTCTCAAATAAATTAATAAAATCTTTTTAAAAATTAATTACTCGGGATCCCTGGGTGGCGCAGCAGTTTGGCGCCTGCCTTTGGCCCAGGGCGCGATCCTGGAGACCCCGGATCGAATCCCACGTCGGGCTCCCAGTGCATGGAGCCTGCTTCTCCCTCTGCCTGTGTCTCTGCCTCTCTCTCTTTCTCTCTGTGACTATCATAAATAAATAAAAAAAAATTAATTACTCGGAAATTTTCAGAGTGTCGAGTTTGTTTTAGCCATGTTCCCTTTAACATTACAACCAATTTTCAGGTCCCAACTTCGTTGGCTTCCCCCTTCTCATCAATGATAAATAAGATACAGGGAAGTTAAATTGATATAAAAAAAAAACCCTTGGAATCAAAAGGAAGTCATGTGCTGCATGGGGGTGTATGTTTGTGTAGACTCCCCATTATGCTATATATTATATATATAATATTATCCTGATCTTTCGTTATTTTAACACAAAACTTTATTCCATTATGTTTTATCAAAACAGTATTTTTAACTTGAAAAATATACAGATTATGTATATGGACAATTTAGTGAGGAAAAAAACTCAGAACTTTACTTTCCTGGGTGTCTCTTTCAGCTGTGCTAATAAAAGTAGCAAATGTTGGGCAGCCCTGGTGGCTCGGCGGTTTAGCACTGCCTTCGGCCCAGGGTGTGATCCTGGGGACCCAGGATCGAGTCCCACGTCGGGCTCCCTGCATGGAGCCTGCTTCTCCCTCTGCCTGTCTCTCTGTGTCTCTCTGAATAAATAAATAAATAAAATTAAAAAAAAAAAAAAACATTGCAAATGTTACTGGACTGTCCCAAGCCAGACACCATCCTTCAAGGAGCCTATGTTTTGCTCTCAATAATACTAGAGACTTTTTAAAAAGAAAAAAGGGGGGAGAAAAGTCAGGGGACAGGGGAATGACTTTTCGCAACTATTACCTTTGGCATTTTGTACCAGTCCGGACCTTCTGAGGTATTGAGACAAGAAGCACATATTCGTTTTAGACATTTAAAAAAAAAAAGGCAGCCTGGGTGGCTCAGCAGTTTAAGCGCCTGTCTTCAGCCCAGGGTGTGATCCTGGAGACCCGGGATGGAGTCCCACGTCAGGCTCCCTGCATGGAGCCTGCTTCTCCCTCTGCCTGTGTCTCTGCCTCTCTCTCTGTGTCTATCATGAATAAATAAAATCTTAAAAAAAAAAAAAAGTACTGAATGTCTTTACAGTTTCTTCCTTGAGCTGTCTAGAGGGAATTATTTATTTTGCCTCTTTACCTTGCAAATAGCTAACGGCTTCCAGCCAAGGCTCAACCCAACCCTTTGTGCCCTGCAGTCATTTCTGTGTCTTTAAAAGAAAACCGATTCTCTGGAATGCTGTGCGTGCACATGCCTGCCCGACTCAGCAGGCCCCACCTGCTGAGCAGGTAAACCAGATCCTCCTGCCGGCCTCTGCAGCCACATTCCAGCCAGGCAAGCTCCCACTCTCTAATTGTTACCTGTCAAACAGGTCAACCAAGCACTTGGGTCTGGTCCAAACATGCGCATGTTCCCACGAAACCCTAAACCTGCAAACCTTTGACCTTTCTATAGTTTCTATAGTTCCCCCAATTCCCTTGATTATTTTAACCAGGGCCGATTTAAATCCAAAAGATGACTTTTTAACGGGAAAGACCTAGGTTCTTTCCTCCCCTTCTTTTCCTCCCCTAGGTTCTTTCCATGTACCCTTTGGGGTTTCTGGACTAGCACACTGGTCGTAATTTAAGTTGACTGGAAGGTGAAGATAGGGGTAGCAAAGTTCCTGAAATGAAATCTCCTAGCCCTAAATCATTCATGGAAATCACAGGTTGTCCACCCTGACCAAATGGAGAGTGAATTCCCTGGGGTGGATAAAAATCAAAGTGCTTCCCAGGTAAAAATTCCCTTCCTCTCCTTTCTGGCACTGGGCTGGCAGCAGAGATTATGGCCTGTGGGCTCAGCCCCAAACCTACGACAGGTGAGACCTTGAGTAAGTCACAGCTTCCTCAGCTGTGCTCAGCTTCCTTTCTTTAGTAAAGAGTAGAAGGAGGTGACACAGGTTCTAAGACCTCTTCCAACACTACTCAAGGTAAGGGGATCATGTCACAGGACTGCTGATGCTTCTTCAGCATCTAGGATTGGGTGAGAGGCATGGGTGCTACTAGGAGAGCCCTGGATCATCTTGGGTCCATTGTGATGAGTTACCAGGTCTGGGGACTTTACTCACATGTGGGCTTCCCATCTTGGGACATCTAGATAGAATACAAGACATCCTTCTTCCCCTATGTTTCCCTTCAGTGTCTCAGCTAATGAGTTCAGTCTTTTTTAAGTGGGAGAGGGGATTATTTTGATTGCTTGGTAGTATGGACTACCCTTTTTATCCTACTGATAAGGAATTCAGAACCAAAACTGTAAGCTCACTGAATCCAAACACTTCGTTTTACAGATCAAGAATCTGAGGCCTAGAGGGGGATATGAGTTACCAGATGTTCCTCAAGTAGTCAAGCTGTGGACTTAAGGGACTGTGGGAGTTGACTAGCATGATCACAACTAGAGAAGTAACGTTGGAAGATGCTCCCTCTGCTCCAATTAAGGAATTTCAAAAATCCAGGCAAGGAATATAAGCTCTCTTCTGAGATGGGAGGTGCTATAGTTGGCTGGGGCTGGGGCAGTCGGGGGGGGGGGTGGAGGGGGGGCGTGGGTATGGGACGTTCTCCTCTTGGGCTGGACAGGTTATTCTACAAAAAGCTCAGGATCACTGTGTGCAGAGCAGGATCTGGCACTTCCTGCTCATTCATCCAGCTCAGACTTGTCTGCCAGAACCAAACATGCAGGGCTGGCTCCCAAGAGAGAAACTTCCTTGAGGCTCTGGAATGGTGGAGTCAGGCAGTCTGCAGGCCTGCTTAGCATCCTTTCTTACCAGCTGCTCACTTTAGGGAGGGCAGAGTGTACAGTGCATGGGCTCAAGGAGGGGGACTCCAACCAGAAGCCTGCCTGGCTTGATCCCTGGAGAGCATTAACTCATGAGGGCACTCTGCACTGTGGATGCTGTGACCCCCGGCCCACCTCGTGCCCTGACACACAAAGGGGCTGTTCGGATGGAAGGGGTCTTCAGAGGTCAAACTGGACGAAAGGGCACTTTGTCTCCTTGTGAAGACCTTTGGGAACATGTAGACCACTATGTGGTTGCTTTAAAATAAACAGTCCCCAGTATTTACAGAACACACCTGATTAGCATTATTTTCTCATTACCAAACACAAAACTTTCCACACATGATGTATTGTTTAGCCATCAGCTTCCATCAAACGCCAAATGTCCTAACTTTCATGCTCTTCACAGGCTCACTCCACCATGTATTGGCTGCGGAGCACTGAACCAGTTACACCAGCTCCCTGGGCCCCAGCTCCCTGATCTGCATACTGGGAACAATTGTTCCACTTAAGACATGGCTTCATTGTGTGGAATAAATGAGATACCGTTTCCTGCCTGGTAATGGGGCCTCCCACATAATATGCATTTAATGTTAGCTTTTTGTTGTTGTTACTGATATAAAACTTATAAAAATAATGACCCACATGGCCCAGTTTCAGAAAGGTATGTCTAATGATCAAAAAGTAACTTAAAAATAACTCGGAGTTCCTTACTTGTCATTCTCCAACACTGTGAAGGGGGGCTTCTTACACACCAGAGCTGTGCTGTCCACACGCTGCCTTCAGTCCCAGGCTCCTTCCCCTGCCATCCCTCACACTTCTCGATGCCTCTACTTGCCATCTGTTGGTGAGACAAACAGATTTTAGTATCAAAGAATCCAAATTGTTTTTTTTTTTTTTAAGATTTTCTTTACTTATTCATGACAGACAGAGAGAGTGATAGAGACAGAGACACAGGCAGACAGAGAAGCAGACTCCATGCAGGGAGCCCGATGTGGGACTCGATCCTGGGTCCCCAGAATCACACCCGGGACTGAAGGCAGAACTAAACCACTGAGCCACCCAGGCTGCCCAAAGAATCCAAATTGTGATAAGGAAAGGCACTCTGAGGGAGAGGGTCTTCTGGATCATGGTTCGGGTTTTCCTCCCATCCTCCTCCTCGGTTGGCTACAGCTCATCCAAATGACTACATGGCAGTAGTGATAATGGGTGACTGTGCCTCTCTGACCCTTTCTTTAGGTCACCACACTGATCACAAAGCCAGCTTTCAGAGAAAGGAGTCTAAAGGCTGAGAGAATCTTCTCACTGGATAATCAGCTTCCAAATCCTCAAGTGTTGACAGCTCTCTTGAAAGCCTTGCCTTTTCGAAAATCATAATGGCCCAGGGCTACCCCAAGCACACGCCACAGGGCAGGGTCAGAGCCCTGCCCCAGGCAAAAGCAGCCGGGCCTTTGGGAATGGATGAGGAGGTTTGCACGACATTTGGCCTAGGGGTTGATAAGGAAGTCAATCGGTCAAGGTCCTACCTGGAACAGAGGGTGTACTCCACAAACCGTTGTTGAATTGGGGCTGTCGGAACCCAGCACATCCAATGAATCACCAAATCCTGTCAGTTCTACCTCCTACGTCTCTCTCAAATCTACTAAATGCTCCACATCCTCATTGCTTTGAGGTTTTGCATTTGAATCAATGTAACAGCATCCTAGCTGATCTTCTAAGAATCCTTTATGTGGCCTTTGATGGTTGAGCTGAGATTTCTCTCTCCAGTCTCACTCCTGGCTGCTTCCCAGCTTTGATCCAGGACACACCACACCTGCTCTTCCCTCTCCCTGGGATATCTCCCCTGCCTAGCCCCTACCCATTTCCCAGGTCTCTGCTTATGCATCTCTTTCCTCAGGAATGTCTACACTCTACCAAAACCAGTTTGTAACCTCCTCCCAGGCTCTCGGCAGCACGATGATAGGCACAGCGTCAGTCCTGGTCACTGCTGCAGACCCTTCAGTGGGCCCTTCAGGAGGTGTTTTCTCATTTAATCTGTAGGACCACCGAGGAACACAGGTGTGACCGTGCCCATTTGACAGATGAAGAAACTGAGTTTCAAGACATGAAATAACTTGCCCACAGTCAGCCACCTGAGACAGAGGCAGAGTCTATGCTAATCCAGATCTATGGGATTGAGGCCTATGCTTTTAACTTCTACAAGAAGCTACCCCAAGAATGCTCAATTCTCTCTGTAATTAAACAAGTCAGAGGTCAAATAATTAGTTAATGAGGCTCTGAGGCAATAATGAGAGAGATCAAAAGATTCTCCCGAGCCTCAAATTCTAATTCAAGTGAACAGGAGACCTTTCAAAGGAGGGTGTGTGGGCCCTGTCGGAGCAGTTGCTTTTTGAGCCACTAGAGTAGCCATTTTCACTCCCGTAAGTATTTAAAAGACACCTTTACAGCCACATTTTGAAGAACTTTTTGATAATGCGTAGAAAAGAATTCTGAGGTATAGCTGCACATTCTTTAAAGATTTTATTTGTTTATTCATGAGAGACACAGAGAGAGTGAGTGAGAGAGAGAGAGAGAGAGAGAGAGAGAGGCAGAGACAGAGGGAGAAGCAGGCTCCCCACAAGGAGACTGATATGGGACTTGATCCCAGATTCCAGGATCAGGACATGAGCTGAAGGCAGATGCTCAACCGCTGAGCCATCCAGGCGCCCCTAGATGCACATTCTTGCTTGTAGTCTAGACACTAGCAGTTAGAAAGTTTGAGGAGAGAATGAGGTCTAAAAAATCAGTGCTCCAAAAACCGAGATACAGGGAGTAGCCAGAGTGGCCAGAAAGAAGAGTTCACTCAGACTAGGAGGTGGAGGCTAGGGAGGATGACACATGGGAGAGCTCTAGGCGATGTGTGGAGGATACAAGAATACCAGTTCCCTACACTTCCAGAGACCACCCCCCCCACCCCCAGAGCTCCCAAGTTCAGAGGAGAGAAACAAAATTAGATGCAACAGAGAACAGACTGTCCTGGGACTGGTAATGGTTAGAGACATAGTGGAGGGAGTTTGAATTTGAACTATTTTAACCAGCATGGAAAGGACATGGCAAATAGTGTGAACCAAACACTTTCTAGTATCTCACCCAGGTATTCCTAAGAGGGCTTCAGGATGAAATGTCTTGAGTTAGTAGCAAGAAGGCCATGAGGACAACAACTGATCTGGCCATCTGCCCTTACAGAGAAAAAAAGTAACATTATTTAGGCACAGCTTTTAGTTAGAAATAAATATGAACAGGAGCAGAAAATTAAGACTCTTAGTGTGAAGGGAAGAGTCACATCCAGTTGCTTTGGCTCCTTCCCATCTTGCCTTTGCTGTGTTCCAGAGCCCTCGCCTGCCTGACCCTTGGTTTCTCTCCAGAGGCTGGTATATATGGGATCCTGAGAGGATGAGTAAGATTATCAATTCAAAACTTAGAGAACATAGCAAGATTTGCTAAACAAATGATGTGAGAAAGGAATGTTTTTCTTAAACCAGCCATTCATTGTTAAGTCCTTTCCAAGACAAGGTAAGGTAAAAAAAAAATAATAATTAAATAAATTAAAAATTAATATTGAAGTTAAATAAGGAGAAGTGACATTGGTGCTTATAAACATTTCTTGAATGTAGAAATATACAACTAAAATCCACCAAGTCATCAGTAGCATCCATAAAGTCAGCTAAAGAAAAAAATCACATCAGAAGGGGAAACACTTTGGGGCACCTGGATGGCTCAGATGATTCAGCGTCTGATATTTTATTTTAGCTCAGGCCATGATCTTAGGGTCATGAGATGGAGGCCCACGTTCAGCTCTGCACTGGGCATGGAGCCTGCTTAAGATTCTCTGTCTTGGGGGATCCCTGGGTGGCTCAGAGGTTTGGCGCCTGCCTTCAGCCCAGGGCGTGATCCTGGAGTTCAGGGATCGAGTCCCACATCAGGCTTCCTGCATGGAGCCTGCTTCTCCCTCTGCCTGTGTCTCTGCCTCTCTCTCTGTATCTCTCATGAATAAATAAATAAAATTAAAAAAAAAAAAAAGATTCTCTGTCTTTGTCTTTGTCTCCCTTTCTCCCCCTCTGCCCCTTCCCTGCTCTCTCCCTCTCTCTCTCTCTAAAAACAAGACAAAACAAAACAAGACAAAAAAGAAGGAGAAACATTCTTTACAGAAGGTGCAGTGATGGTCTGCAGAAATCAGCTTGTGCCTTAAGAGTGAGCGTCATAGAAGAATGTGCAGGCCATATCCCCAAATGGAAAGTATTGCTTCTGTTTATGGAAGAAATACGTTTAAACTTGAATGTCAGAAAAGCACATGAATCAATTAGTGGCTGACTGAAGCAAATGGAATGCATCCAATTTCCTACCTGTAAAAGGTAATAACAAATGATAATGGCCTACGATGGTATATGAACACTGAGAAGCTGAAACACCAGTGTAAAAGGGAAGTATTTGTATGTTCAAACAAACACATGTATGCACACATACTTACACACACAAAACAGGATTTGTGCTGCTCAATTACATCAACAGGAAGTCTTTCTCTGGAAGAAGTAATAGGGCTGAAGATTGATCTGTGTCCAAAGCAAATCAATGCTGTCCCTGATGGGAGCTTGGGAGGAAAAGGAGCCATACCCTGGAGTAAATGGCTGAAGCTACCTGCAGAGGAACACTAGCCTAACTTCTCTAGCGAAGAGGGAAGGAAATGCTACCCTGTTCAGGTTTCATTAATACATTTACAGAATATATTAAGAAAGTACAATTCTAATGTGGGCCAAATCCAGAAGGACTTTGTAAGTTTATACATAAGCATTCTATCAGTCTATAATGTGTCCTTGAACTCGCCAAGGCTTTCTGAGAAGACATCATCACTTCCCTCCAATTCTATTCTGTTTTTTTATTTTTTCTTTTAATTTAAATACATTGTATGTATGTTGACATACAATGTTGTGTTAGTTTCGGGGGCACAATATAGTGATTTAGCCCTTTCATACAACACCCAGGGCTCATCACAGGTGCCCTCCTTAATCCCCACTCCCTATTTCCCCCATCCCCCTCACCCACCTCCCCTCTGGGAACCATCAGTGTGTTCTCTATAGTTAAGAGTCTGTTTCTTGGTTTGCCTCTCTCTTACTTCCCTCCAATTTTAATTTAATTGGGTAGATAAAACAAATGCATATGAAAGTACAGGCTGTCTACAGCAATGGATGAATGAAGAAAGTGGTTTAATTGCCTGGGGGCACAGGGAGTCAGAGAGCAGAAGAGCATGTGCTATGGATTAGCCAGAGAAGGACAGTCCCATTAAATAAACGGATCTAAAGAATTTACTTAGACTTGAAATGTCCTAGCTCTGACCAGGATGCCCAAATAAATCATCACAAGGAAACTTGCTGAGTATCTTCAGGACTTAGACACTGTGAGGCTTCCTATCTGCAAGTACCTTACATGTGTTATCCTCTTTAATCCTGCCACCACCACCAAAGGCATGTTCTAACACCATCCCCGTTGTTCAGGTGAGGAAACTGAGACACAGAGAGGCGAATCACTTTGCCTCAAGTGACAGAACTAGTAAGTGGCCTGTGATGTTGACCACCACTCTCTCCCTAGCTAGAGAGTAAATGCTCAGTAACTGTTTGGGTTTCCAGTCAAGCAGAAAGGCTACCAGAAATCTCAGCACTAACCCAGTATTTCTGCTAAAGTAACAACTGCTTTGAAGCACAGATATTTGGTTTGGAAATCTCAGAGATATCAGTGTATTATACAACACAGCAATCATGCAGAGGACTTTCAGTGAACTACTACCACTCAAGATATTCGCCAATTAAATGTTGAAGGGTCTTCTCTAAACATTCCATTCAGCTTATGATGTTCATTATAACAAGCAGAATCTTGGCAACATTTTTCTTTCCCAAACTAGAATGTCTGACTCTGCCTAGTTGTGTCAGTAGAGGTTAGGTTTAATGCATACAACCTGATTTCTGGGTTTAGTCTTTGACCCTTTTAAACCTATAAGAGGCTCAATTAACATCCATAGGAGTTGGAAGTCTTACGCAGTGACATTTTGGAACAATCCAAGAAATATTTACCTTTCACCAAGGTTTCAGTTGAGGTGATCCAGTGGTCTCTGGTGGAGACCACCCCCTTTACTAAGATGCGGCCTGATAGAGTATTAGGGTTAAATAGCACAAAATGCTAAGATTCCCAGCACTTCTTGTGGCATCAGGAATGTGTTACATTGTTTTCTTATAGCCACTCACACATAATGTTTGGGCCCCATTATTATAGTTAATATATTACACAAATCACTTGGATTTTTCTCTTTGGTATATTAGTAGAGGAGTATCCATTCTGCAAAAACACAGAAGTAATGTGCGACCTAAAATATATGGCTAATAAACCAGAGAGAGCACTTAACCCTGATAAATTCTAACGTGAGTACACAAGGGAACATACACAAGGATGGCTCTTGCAGTGCTGTGGTGTTTGGGAGCTGGAAGCAATGTGGGTGAATGCCACTGGGGGTGTGGATGGGGAAAGCATGGTGGAAGCACAGACTGGAAGCCTCTGCAGCAGACAGGAACAACAGATTGGATGGAGTGAAACATGGATGGAGCAACAGGGATGGAGTGAAACATTAACTATCTGAATGAGCCTAGAGTACAATGCATTTACATTTTTTTAAAAAAATGTACAGGCACAAAAAGCAGCAAAACACATTTTTATAAGAATCCATATGAACACACGTATATACTTGTATCTGCATCAGGTGTGCTAGGATGGCTGCCCACGGTAAGGGTAAGAAACTTGCAGGGAGGATGGAGTAAAATGGAATAAATAAATCAAATGAGAGAGGGCCTCCCATGGACCAGTGAAGACCATACTATGAACTGACAAATATGAGGAACTGAGCACTGCCTCTGAGGTCCCAATCCCAGAGAAGTACATTTAGCCCCAAAAGGTTTTAATCTTGGGTGCTCAGCCCTGTGGCTCCTGAGTGAGGTGTTTGTAAGGTTAATGATTGCTAGGTGGGTTTCTTAAGCTCCCTGGATTTGCTTGGATGCTCTTTAGGTCAGGGGCTTTCAACCTTAGCTGCATGGGAGAGACACTTGGGGAGAAGTAAAAAAAAAAAAAACAAAAACAAACAAACAAACAAAAGCCACTTCTGGGCCCCACCCCTAGAGTTTCTGTGATGGGCCAGTGGCAAGGCCCAGGCATCTGTATTTTTCCAGAGCTCCCCCATATAATTCTAATGTGTATCCAGGATTGAGAACTCTTGCTTTAGGCTTTTGCGTTTTCTTTTCTAGTTGCCAATGTTGCATTCTTTGGCATTGGAAAAGAGACTGCTGAAATCAGATAATTTCCTTTTGCCAAACATTAATCTCATGGTTAACAGAGAACACCAAAGATAGCATAATTCATGTATTCATTTGATTATACAATTAAAACTGTTGGCTGGGTCACTGTGTATGCATAGGGTGGGTACTGCATAATTCTAGGGGATGTATGCACAGGGTAGTTTATGCAAATGAAGCTCCTTGGAGTCGATCAGTGCACAACCCGCTCTGTTGTACATAGCAGCCTGAGTGTCCACTGTGTGACACACACTGGGCTAAGTGTCTTGGCTCCACTGGTGAACAAGATGACATGGTCACTGCTCTAGTAGAACTTCTAGCCTCCAGGGAGGGTGGTGGCAATGTGATTTCCATGAAGTATATGGCTGTGCAATGGTGGGAAGGGCACCTCAGGAGCTCAAGTCAGGGCCCCTCACCCAGTCTAAGGGTCATGGAGGGCTGGCGGGAGGAATTGAAATTTGGATCAAAACGTGAAAGATAAGCACATTGGATGGTCTGGGGTGTAGCAGAAGGACAGTGCTATCCACCAAGAGGAAGATCCCTGACAGGGTACAGAGATTTTACTGTGCTCATAACATAACAAATGAGCTGAAAGAAAGAGTGAGTGGACCTGACACACGGTTGAGAAACTGGTACTCCAAAGGAGGGCAAGGTCTGGCTACAAAGGCAGCTGTGGACCAAGAAGTTAAGACCAAGTTAAGAAGTCTGGGCATTATCACATGGGTACTGGGGAATAAAATAATAAAATATGAGACTTTGATAATTCTGGCAGCAAGTACAGTTGAGCAGTGCGGAGGCAAGAGTAGGCACAGAGGACAAGTTAAAAGACTATTGTGCAGATAGTGGTAAGAGTTGGAGTGGCTTGGACAAGGCCTGGGAATGAAGAGAAAAGGACACGTGTGAAGGATATCCCAGAAACACAGGCCATGGAGACTGCCCAAGGAAGAGGGTCGACACTAGACAGAGGTGGGCCATTCACTGAGTTAAGGCACAGAAAAGAGAAGATGGGGTAGAAAGAGGCAGGGAAAGTTGGGGATTTTACTTGAACTTGTTGGTTTTGAGGGGGGCTAGTCTTGCAGGCTGAGTTCCTGGGAAATAGGCTCTGAGTCACAGTTTGATGAACAGGGTGTTTCTTAGGGTATGCTCTTGAGTGCAACACAGGAAGGAGGGCAAAGAAATAGGACTGGGCAGAGGCAGAGACCAAGCTGCAGGGCAGGCCTAATGACAGCCTTGGCTGAGGCAGAGTATATTTTCCAAAGATGGCCCGTACCTATTTATGGCCCATCCCACATGTTCTTCTTACAGTGAGCTGGATGCTCCTCCATTAAGAGGTAGGGTCTACACTCCATGTTCTTGAACTTGGGGAGATTTTTAAACAGCTTGACCAGAGTGATGCTGCATGACTTCTGAGGCTAGGTCATAAATGGCAGTATGGCTTCTGCCTAGCTTCTTCTCTTGCCATATGCATTTTAGGAGCCTGGAGTCAACAAGTAAGAAGTTTGGCTTCCCTGAAGCTTCCACATTGGGAAAAGCATGTAGAGAGATCACACAGAGTTAGAGAGAGATGTGCAAGGAGGCCAGCGGTCTAGCCCTGTGCCGTTTGAGTGTGCCCAATCCAGGTGCTAACACATGAGTGAGTGAAGGAGTTTTTAAATGCACCCCATCCTGGGGCACCTGGGTGGCTCAGTGGGTTGGGAGGCCAACTCTTGGTTTTAGCTCAGGTCATGATCTCAGGGTTATGAGATCAAGTGGGTTCCATGCTCAGTAGTGAGCCTGCTTGGGAGTCCCTCTCCCTCTGCCCCTCCCCCTGCTATCTCTCTCAAATAAATAAATAAAATATTTTTAAAAAAATATAGCCAGCCCCAATCTCCAAGCCACCCCAGCAACACTGAGTGGAGCAGAGATGAATGATCCTGGAGCCCAGCCCAGACTGAAGATTCATGAGCTAAATAAGCGTTGCCATTGTCTAAAGCCATTAGATTTGGAATGGTTACACAGTGCTAGAACACCGGCCCATCACTTCCCCTCTCAGGGAACTTTAGACCTAGGATGGCCTTTCAGAGCCGTTCCAAGTTGGGCCAAGATGGTGGAGGCTTTATATCCCACACTGATGAGTGATTGGATGCGACTGCCCAAGAAGTGGTGTGACCTTGGACAAAGGGAGTCTCTCTAACCAAGGCAATCCTGGAAGGGGTGGAAGGTTGGATGCAGACAGCATTCTCTGCAGCTGGGGCAGAAAGTACTTCCCTGAAGGGAGATCTGGATAGCACATTGCCGTGACTGCCAAAGCCAAGGACGTATTGAGCCAACTACCCAGTCTAGAGCTTGGAAGGGCATGCTGCTGGGAAACACTAGCCTGTGGCACAAAGTTTCATCCTGTGGTCTGGGGACAACCTGCACTGCATCATGTGAATGCAGCCCCTCCCCTGACCTGACAAATCGGCACTCAGAATGATGAGCAGTCTCCTTCAGATGATCCTCATGCCTGCTGAAATTGAGAATCTCTGGATAAAGATGATATCAAAACCACAGGGGAGTAGATGAGGGACTCCAGGGAGATTACATAGGACATAATGAGAACCCTGGAACCCCACCACCATTTGCCAAGGTAAGAGTGGGGAACACAAGTGGTTTCCCATAGCAGCAGGCACCAGTAGCAAATGCAGATGCGAGTCCAGGAAGGGTGAGAACACTGGAGTATTTATTGGATTTGGAAACAAGGAGGTTCTTGTTGGCTCCAGCCAGGGAGTAAGGGTGGCTGTTAATCATGTGGGGGAGATATGGTGAGATTTATCCTGAGCTGCTTCCTGGCTAGGGTTCCTGGGGCAGAGGAAGGGACTAGAGGTAAGAAGAACCCCTGGAGGATTAAATGAGAGTTGTCTTGGGATGGGTCTTGGGGGCACCTGGGTGGCTCAGTAGTTGAGCGTCTGCTTTTGGCTCAGGTCATGATCCCAAGGTCCTGGGATCAAGTCCCACAGCTTCTTCTCCTGCATATGTCTCTGCCTCTCTCTTTGTGTCTCTCATGAATAAATAAAATCTTTAAAAAGGAAAGAAAGAAAAAAAGAAAGAAAGAAAGAAAGAAAGAAAGAAAGAAAGAAAGAAAGAAAGGAAGAAAGAAAACTGACAACAAAGACAGCACAGAGTAAAATAGGAAAGAGTGAGTTGAGAAGCTATAACCCATCAGGGAGATGAAGGACCAGATAAAGGAGCTAAACCCAGAAAGATGTTTTATTATCAAATAATCTTCATCTTTACACAAACCAAGGCAATTCAGAGGGGCTCTCATTTAAACAGTCACTTTAGTAGCCAAGAGAGCAAATGTGTTTGGAATCAACAGAATTTGGTTGGATTCCCAGCACACAAACTAGTATCTCCTTGGAAAGCCACTTAAGTTTTCTAAGCATTCATTTCCTTATCTGCAAAATGGAGATAATTATGCCTAAACTGCTACTTTGCTGCAAGGACTATAGCTCATCCATTCATTCGGTGAGGATTTGCTAAGCTTTGCCTTGTGCCAGACACCACACGAGCACTAAGACCGAACAGCACAGGCCAGCCCATCTCCTCCTGGAGCTTGTCCTCTAGTGAGAGAGCCCAGCGTTGAATCGATTGTAACAATATTGACATCAGTGCAGTTGTGGTCAGTGCCCCGAGGCAAAAGAAAGACCAAGTATGTTAGATGCTAAATAGTGCTTGGGACATAGCAGGGCTGGGAGGAACGGTATTTACGACCACCCTCACCACGGGGAAGGTGTTGAACGGCATGTTCGGGAAAATTTCGCCAAGAGAGATTCTATATTCAGTACCTGTAGCTTCTCTCTCTCTCTCTCTCTCTCTCTCTCTCTCTCTCTCTCTGCTGCTTTCCCCTCCTGAGGAACTGTGGTATTTCACATTTTTCGTGTCAAGATTAGTACTTAATTAGCACCATTAAGCACTTCCAGGGAGAAGCAAGCACACGGGGAGGAGAGAGCATTGTTTCTCCGCCTTTGAAATGACGCGTGAGTCTGGAGGCCTGCATCACTCGAAATATAAACTTACTCTTAAAAGTATCACATATAAAAATGAAGATTTTTTAAAAGTGTTTTCTCCTTGTGCATTCATTTATTAGAAACAGCACGAAGATACTTTCCTGTGATGTTAATCTGTGCAGTGTACTGGCGCCTCTTTTGGTTTTCAAAAAAATGTTGCAGTTCATGTTGACATAAAGCTGACTCATCTGGCAGGGAAGTTGGCCAGCATGAGTCAGGAGTGAGCAGGAGAGACATTTTACGACTTATCAGTCAGAGGAGTCACTGCTAATGGCCCCCACTGGACTCGCAGGCCCATACCAAGCGTGGGATTTATACTCTGCACAACTCAGCAACATACTAACTCCATCTTACAGCTGAGGAAATTGAGATTCAGGAGTTGACAGAGCTTGCCCCAGGCCTTAGAACGGTGACTCGCCCCGGGCCATATGTTTCCCAAAGCACCGTCCACTACACCCCGCTGTCTCTGGAAGAGGAAGAAGCCAGAATGGAGCTGTGATGCCGGGGAAGGGGAGGGCCCCTGTGAGGAGGTCAGCTGAGGGGCCCCCAGCTTCTACCCCAACTGCCACTCGCTGAGCACACCTCCGCCTACGTCAGCAGGTGCCAGTCCCTCACACCTGGGCGACTTGGAGTCAGGGACAGTGTGGCCGGGCTCTGAGGGAAGACAGCAGGGTGGCTCAAGTGAGCCTGGGCCTGGGAAAATGCTGACTGGGCTGGGCCCAGAAAGGAACGTGGGCAGGTTAGCACAGCTGCAGCAGCTTTGCCAGAAGTATGTTGTGCAGGTGAGAGAGAGAGAGAGTGTGTGTGTGTGGGGGGGGGGGGTGTAGGAATGTGTGCATGAGAGAAGGTGCACGTGAATATCTGAGTGTTCTGTGAGCTGGCGTGTGTTCTGCACATGGATAGGTTGGAGAGCCGGCGTGCATAAGAAAGCACATGTTCCTGCATGTGTCTGAGAGCACATGTGTGAATTGTGTGTGGTAAGTCTAAGTGTGTGTGTGTGTGTGTGTGTGTGTGAGAGAGAGAGAGAGAGAGAGAGAGAGAGAGAGAGAGAGAAAGACTGTGTGCATGAAGGGTACAACTGGAAAAGTTCAAAAATAAAGGTGCTATTTAGTGCCTCTGGGTTATACTGAGGCACACCCGCCCCTGACTGCCTAGGACACCACTTGAAATTTCTTTACAGGGGAATCTGAAGGAACAGAATCCCAGCCTGAGCCATGAATCCCCGGGAGTGAAATTCCTACACACCAGCAGGTATTATTTAGAGCCTTTCTCAATTAGCAATCATAACACCTGAAGCTTTGAACAGTTGTTGTATGTTTATCTTTCTCTTCAAATTTACTCTGTTGGCTCTCATAGCCAGCCAAGTTCAAACAACCTTCTGTCTGGCAGCCACGAAAACAACGCCCCCAGCCCTCACCCCAAAGCAGTTACAACCAGACAGAGGTTGGAGCCGATTTCCACAAACTCTGTGTGTGTTCTTCTGCCTTTTTATTTAATTGTGCCTTAAGATGTATCTATTTCCATCAAGGATTCGAGGTAGCTTACAATATTAAAAACATGCGCCCCCCAAAAATGCTTTTTTTAAAGATTGTATTTATTGAGAGACAGCCTAAGTGTGGGGGGCAGAGGAGAGGGAGCTGAGAAGGGGACTCGACATGGGGCTGAATCTTAGGACCCCAGGATCATCACTGGAGCTGAAAGCAGGTGCTTAACCAGCTGAGCCACCCAGGCACTTTAGAAACACACACACAAAAAAACTCAGATCAAACCTCAGGAGAAGCCACAGGAGAAGAAAGATGTTTCAGGGTGTGTGTTCTGGTGCTTAATTTTCACTGATGGTAAAAGAGACACATTAGAAGCATAATAACCGAGTAATGGTTAAGACTGAGTCATTAGGAGTTACCCTGTCTGGATTTTAATTATTGTGCTGTTTGCTGAAATTCTCCAAGCCTTGCTTTTCCTGTCACTAGAAATGGGGACAACAATAGTACCTACCTCATCGGATTAAGAACCAAGTAAGCCAATACATGTAAAGTGCTTAACACAGTGTCTGGCACACAATAAGCAGTCAATTCAGTTGTGTTGTCACACAGTTGTTTCACTGCCATTGTGGAATTTTAATTACCCCCACATTGCTGCTCTTTTTGGTTGTATGAGCAGACCTAGGTGGGATTTCTCCTTCTTTGGCCCCATGTGAAGACAGGTAAAGAGAATGTATTATTTATTGGAGTCTGGCCATCCACTAGCCCCAAAGCGGACACTATGGACGAGTGCCCCTGTGCATGGCAGCAAGATTATTTGGGCTGCACCAGGGCCTGTGAAACTTGGGATTTCTTTTTAATTTTCGTCTTTAGTTTTGGCTTTGTTTGCAAGCTTGGACATATATGTGGGCCAGTTTGGCTTGTGGATTCTGCAATCACAGCTGCAATCACAGCTCAGCTGAGCTGAGTTGCGGTGATGCCATGTATTCAGCTGCAGGTCAGGTCCACTGAGACTATTCCAGGAGTATAGTCCTAGAAGACCCATGGGCCTCTTTCTGGGCCAACTTGAGTTCTGTTGCTCTCTGAGAAACAACCTCTTCAGTGGAACCGATGTCAGAGAACACTGGTAGCCTATTTGGTGGACACAGCCTATAGCACAAATACCTCTGTGTGGGTTCTGTACTCCACCCAAAATACTTAGACATGCAGCCATCATATCCATTATTTTCTAATTATCGTCAGTGGCCAAGTGAAAGATGATCAATCACTTCTCAAAGATAATTAAACATTCAGGAGAATCCCTCTGAGCCCACCCACCTCCCAGCTTCCCCTTAGCTTTGCCTTAGTTCTCTAGGTTTCTGAGGCCAGGGTCATCTGGACAGGCAGGTGTGGGGGAATTACCCCAAGAGCTGTCCATCTAATCCTGCCGCACTATTTGTTTTCCATGTGGATATCTCCCATTCTCTCCCTGCAGCCAGCGAGATGGGTTCAAGGGCTGCAGTGGTTCATTTTTTACCTCTGCATCCCCATCCCCGTCTCTCCCCCTCTGATCTACTTCGTGCCTGGCACTCAGTAGGTACTCTATAAATGTTTGTTGAATCAGAGTATGAGTATGAAAGCAAGTGAACAATGGAATGAGCTATTTCACAGAGAAAATGTTAAAGTGGAAGTAAACTCTAGAGGCCGACATGTGACACTCAGGGAAACGGAGGCTGTGGCTCACTGAAGATGTGCGGAGCCTCAGCAGCAGGACTGGGGGCCAGGTACTGCCCTCTCGCTGTGCAGCTCTGCTGCTTCTTATCTCCCTTCTTAATCTTCAGTTACCACTCTTCTCAGAGAGAGACTTTGGGAGTCTGTTGGGGTATGTGTCAGTCCCACCTCTCCCGGAAGTCATCATCAGCTCATTAACTAGGGTACAACTTGGCCTAGCCTCCCAACAAAACCAAATCAATAAATATTGATTAAAAGCCTACTATGTCGACAGTCAGGTGAGAATGAGGGAAGGCAGGAAGCACAGAAGAGAGAAGCTGTGTGCAGCTTCTCTTCCTTATTAATGGTCAATCTGACACCCCAGGGCGGCCGGGTGGCTCAGTGGTTAAGCGCCACCTTCAGCCCAGGGTGTGATCCTGGAGACCCAGGATGGAGTCCCACGTCAGGCTCCCTGCATGGAGCCTGCTTCTCCCTCCGCCTGTCTCTGCCTCTCTCTCTCTCTCTCTCTCTCTCTCTCTCTCTCTCTCTCTGTGTGTGTGTGTGTGTGTGTCTCATGAATAAATAAATAAAATTAATTAAAAAAAATCTGACACCCCAGTTCACACTCACAACACAGTCCTGAAGAGGAGGCAGCAGGCATGCTTGTTGGCTGTCTGCTAGGAAAGACGAGGTGGGAAGGTCTGAGGTCTCCACTGGCTCTAGAGAAAGCCCCTTTCTCCCTCAGGCAAGAGGGAGGGGAGAATTTGTTGTGTAAATAATGAGTTCAAAACTGCACCCTGTTCATGTACCAAAATTCCAAGAATGATTAAACCTGATGATAGCTCCAGGATAAACAGAAATTTAACATTGCAGTTGCCTGTGCACTTTCTCTCTGTCTCTGTCTGCCCTGCTCTGTCATACACATGTACGCACACAGCCGGAACGTCTCCTGCCTCCTAACTGGTCCATAGGAAGGCGGTGTAGTCTGCTAGGAAGGTAACACTGGGTGCACTCAGAAGATGTGACTGCTGTCACTGCTCAGGCACTCCTTCACCATGGTCCTAGCTTCCTAATTGTTCCAGGGCCCTACTTGTCCATTTTTAAAAAGTAGAATACCAATACCATTATTTACCTGCTTTGCAAGGATGCTGTGACTACACAGCTTGATAGACATAAACAATCCTTAGAAACTGAACTACTTTACGCTGAAATAGTCTTTCAAAGTCGAGTGTAGACTTCAACTAATTGATAGTAGGATAAATGTCCTTTTTTTTTAAGATTTTATTTATTTATTTATTTATTTATTTATTTATTTATTTATTTGAGAGAGAGACAGCACAATGTGGGAGAAGGGTAGAGGGCGAGGGAGAAACAGCCTTCTCCCTGAGCCGGGAGCCAAATGGGGTTCAATCCCAATGACTTGAGAAGAAGGCAGACATTTAACCAACTGAGCCATCCAGGCACACTGGTAAGTGTGTCCATATAGGAGGAAGCACTAGAGAGCTTTCTGTCTCTCTTCTCTCTCTCCCTCTCTCTGTCTCTACCATGTGAGAACACAGTGAGAAGGCAGTAGGCTGCCTTTGGCTCCCACCAAAGCTAAATGGGCTGGCACCTTGATCTTGGGCTTCCCAGTTTCTAGAACTGTGAGAAAATAAGTTTCTGTTCTTTAAGCTACTGTCTATGGTGTTTTCTTACAGCAGCCACATAATGAAACTCAATAAATCAAAAAGGATAGAAATAATAGAGTATGTTCTCTAATCACTATGTAATGAAATTAGAAATCAGTAGTAGGAAAAAATTGAGGAAACTCATAAATATGTGGAAATTAAACAATACACTCCTATATAACTAATGGATCAAAAAAGAAATTAAAAGGGAAATCAGAAAATACTTTGAGGTGGGGCTCCTGGCTCAGTCAGAGAAGCCTGTGACTCTTGATCTTGGGGTCATGAGTTTGAGCCCCGACCTTGGATGTAGAGATTACTTAAATAAGTAAAAGTTAAACAAAAAAAAAAACACTTTGAGGTGAATGAAATGAACATACAATATATCAAAATGTATAGAATTCAGCTAAAGCCCTGCTTAAAGGGAAATTCATAACTGTGACTGTTATATTAAGAAAGGAGAAAGATCTTAAACCAATAACCTGATCTTCCACCCTGAGATACTGGAAAAAGAACAAACTAAACCTGAAAATGAGCAGAAGGAAGGAAATAATAAAGATTAAAGTGGAAATAAAGGAAGAGCTAATAAGAGGGCAGAAGGAGCAAAAACGATGCACACCTTTCATGAGCTCACCAGCAGGATGGACATTGACCAACTGCTGGATATGGCCTACAGGCAGTTGATGCAGCTGTACAGCGCCCAGCAGGGACAGTCTCAGCCTGGATTTTTTGAGGAAGCAGCACTCACTGCTGAAGTACCTGCACAATGCCAAGAAGGAGGAGGCTCCCCACTTGGGGAAGCAGGAGGTGGTTAAGAGAAACTTATGGGACATGATCCATCCTGCTAGAGATGGTGGGCAGCATGGTGGGTATCTACAATGGCAAGACCTTCAACTAGGTGGAAATTAAAGTAAATTAAATTAGGTAGAAATTGAATAAAATAGAGACTAGAAAGACCATAGGGGAAAAAATCAATTAAACCAAAAGCTGGTTCTTTGAAAAGAACAATAAAAGAGACAAACATTTAGCTACACTGTCTAAAACTCACCTATAAATGGATTTGGATTTAAATGACATTTTACTATGGATAGAGACCTCAGACCTCTACTCGTACTTTACAATTGCCCAAGAAGCTGAAGTTTTTTGGTTTTTTAAAAGATTTTATTTATCTGAGAGACAGTGCAGGAGCAGGGGAAGGGGGAGGGGAGAGAGAGAAGCAGACTCCCCACTGAGCAGGGAGCCTGATGTGGGGCCTGATCCCAGGATCCTGTAATCATGACCTGAGCTGAAGGCAGATGCCCAATCAACTGAGCCACCCACGTGCCTGAAGCTGAAGTTTTAAGAACCAATGATTTGGCTAAGGCAGAGGCAAGACTGGAAACCAAGTGTCCTGATCCCCATCTAGGGTTTATGACAT